GCTTTTTCGGCGGCATCTTCGCGCGGCGCGACGGCGTGGCCGGCGCAGGGCCTCCCCCAGCGGAGCGGCACCTTGCGGTCCCGCGGTTACTTTAGCCTGCGAAGGGCCCCGGCCGACGCGCACTCGTCCAGCGCCGAGAGCATCGACGGGTCCCCGCGCAGAGATGCCTTTGTGAACAGCCAGGAATGGACGTTGAGTCGGTCTGTCCCGGAGCTCGAAGTGGGAATTGTGGGTAATTTGGCCAGCGGCAAGTCTGCCCTGGTGCATCGGTACCTGACAGGCACCTACGTCCAGGAGGAGTCTCCCGGAGGTGGCAGGTTCAAGAAAGCGATTGTTGTGGATGGACAGAGCTCTCTGCTGCTGATTAGAGATGAAGGGGGCCCCCCGGAGGCGCGGTTTGCGATGTGGGTGGACGCTGTTATATTTGTCTTCAGCTTGGAGGATGAAATAAGTTGCCAGACTGTTTACCACTACTACAGCCGAATGACCAACTATCGAAACACGAGCGACATTCCTTTAGTTCTGGTGGGAACCCAGGATGCCATAAGTTCCACTAACCCGAGGGTCATTGACGATGCCAGGGCAAGGAAGCTCTCCAACGACCTGAAGCGGTGCACCTACTACGAGACGTGTGCCACATACGGGCTAAACGTGGAGCGAGTCTTTCAGGACGTTGCCCAGAAGATTGTTGCCACAAGGAAGAAGCAGCAGCTGTCTATTGGACCCTGCAAGTCAGTACCCAATTCTCCAAGCCATTCCTCTGTCTGCTCCGCACAGGTGTCTGCTGTGCACATAAGCCAGACAAGTAAGGAGGAGGGAGTTTAAGCGACTACTCGTCCTCTGTTCCATCAACTCCCAACACCAGCCAGAAGGAACTTCGGATTGATGTTCCACCCACTGCCAACACGCCGACACCCGTTCGTAAGCAGTCCAAGCGCCGGTCCAACCTCTTCACCTCTCGGAAAGGGAGCGACCCAGACAAAGAGAAGAAAGGCCTGGAGAGTCGGGCGGACAGCATCGGGAGTGGCCGAGCCCTCCCAATTAAACAGGGCATGCTGTTGAATCGAAGTGGCAAGTCACTGAACAAAGAGTGGAAAAAGAAATACGTCACCCTGTGTGACAATGGCGTGCTGACCTATCATCCAAGTTTACATGCATATGGTCACCCTTTATACACTGCTTGCAGCCTGCTTTCCTCACTGATGTTAGATCTTTCCATGTCAGCAAATAGAGTTGTACACCACCACTTTTAATGGATATATAATACTCCATTGTGCAGATGTACCATACATGATTCAGCACTTACTCAAAAATGGACATTTGTCAAATAAATTTACTGTGAATTTTTTTTACTATTATAAGTAACTCTAATCAATTTCCCTCTATATCTCTGTGCCTGTGTCCACTTCCCTGTGTCCAATTTCTTAGCAGTCAGCTTTCTGAGTTGACATATGTATGCTTTTATGTCTTTTGGTATGTATTGTCAATTTCCTGGAAAGATTGTTTCAGGTTATCTCCTCTGGCAATATACAAGAGAGCTTTTTCCTTGCATTCTCAAGAACATTTACCTTTTTTAAAAATAAATATTTTCCAATATGATGGTAAAAAAAAAGACAACTGCACACGCATGTTTATTTCAGCACTATTTGCAATAACAACAACATGGAGCCAACCATGCTGCCCATTGAAACTGGACTGGATAAAAAAAAATGTGATACATATACACTATTGAATATTATGCAGCCATCAAGAAGGACAATCATATGGGTTTCGCAGCAACTTGGATGGATTTAGAGTCAATAATACTCAGTGATTTATCACAGAAAGAAAGAACAGAGTATAACATATTCTTACTTATAAGCGAACCCTGAACATTTGCCATAATACTATATGACAGGGATTGGCGATAGCAGGAGACTGCTGGGGTGGGTTGAGGGGCACACAACATCAATGAGGGTGCCTGATCTTAAACCAGGCAAAGTGAGAGCCAAAGGGAGGCTCAAATTTTACCTGTTTGATGCCCACTTGTATACCTAATCCTGAATTATAACCCACATCTTTAAAATAAAATAAAATAAATTTTAAAAAACAAATTAAAGCAGTGATATAATATATGAAATAATAGCAAAGTTCAGAATAGCAAACTCAGGTATGTGTGACTGGAGGAAAAGAAGTTTTGGAAAGAGAGGAGATAGACTAACAAGTTGTTAGAAATGAAAGGAAACTTATTTCACAAATGAAATCTAAACTTGAAGGAGCATAACACTGAATAAACATAAAATGATAAAAATGATACTAGAGAATATCATCTTTATAATTCTGTTGTTGTAAAATCTGAAACCCTGCAAATACCAATGCATGCTCTTAGAAGCCATGAACATTGTTTCTGTTGTAGAAGAGGGAGTGGGTAATCGGTTACTTTTCAAAGTCTGTTTTTTGACCTATTCATGCTGACTTTATGATGATTCATTGATGCGTTAGTCATAATTTGTACATTTCTCTGTAAGTATGTTTGTGTTTTGATTAACAGAATATCAATGATATACTGTTCTATCATTCTTGGAGACAATATAGTTTATATGAAAATATCAGTTATATTATTTTCTAGGCATTTTTTGTATTCTCCTGAGAGCTTTTTTCTCTTATATTTAGGCCTCTGTGTGTCATGCTTAAGATTTCTTCTAATGTCTGGTAATTCTTGAATGTTCAAATATATCCCAGACTATGGCACTAACACACTTGTTTGAAGTTCTGTGTACATAGGTAGACCTTATGAACTGTTGGGCTCCAAGGCAGAAGAGACAGGCAAAACAACACTTATTTTGTAGAGGTAACCCCTACCTTCCAGTCTCCATTCCCAGAAACAAATTACCCTGTTTCCTAAGTGAAATGTTTAAGACTGGTTGTCAACCTGGGGGCTGAGTGTAGGAAAGAGGGTCATGATGGTCCATGCCATAAGCATACCCTCAATCCTCTATTCTAAGTACAACTCCTCTACTGCTTAAGTTCTGCCAGATGTTTCTAGACAGAACTCCTCAGTTTAACTGCCATAAGAGGAAAGCTCCAGTTTCACCTGGCATGGAAGAGACTGAAGGCAACACTACTTCAATAGGAGTCTGAAGTTTAATGCTGAGATTTTTGTCATTGACTTGTGAAGAGGTAGGTATAGAAATTGAATTGTAAGTAGTGAGTAACTTTTATATAATTTAATATCACTGACAAACAAGCACACAATCAGAGGACACATCGTTTGGAAGAGTATAGTATAGAACAGTTTAGATGTTCTTCATTTTTCTAGTAATTGATTTTTATTGTATTTTACTGCAGTATTGGCCTTTTTATGAAATGGGAGGAAAAAATCCTCTAGATGATTTGAGAAGCACTGAGGGAGATGTTGAGTTCCTTATTCAGACATTAAACCACATTTTCAGTGCCATATAGATGACCCAATTGTGAAGACGATGTCCAGATACAGTTTTGTCTTTTAATTGGTTTGCTTTTGGTTGGCTTCCCTCATTGTGCAGATGTATTTTCAGTTTTCTCTCATCTGCTTCGGGCCATGTAAATCATCTCCCCTTCCTTTTTTTTTCTTCTGTAATTGTTTTGCCATCTCTTACACGTAGTCCTCTCCTGTGATATTCTTGGTGATATGTGTTTTAAATAACCCACTATCATTTTAGTATGATAATGGGCAGAATGCATATGTTAAATCCCACAATATGTATTTAGCATTTTAAAAGAGATTCTAAAACAAAATTTATAAATCAATGTTAATAGAAACTTAATGAAAAGTCAATAAACACAAATGCAGTGAGTATGTTAATTTAGCACCATGACACCATGACATGCTACATATACACACACAATGTAGTATACTTAAAAAAAGTTTAATTAATAAAATAGAGATCACATCTATAATACATACTACTAAAACTGTAATGGAAACAAAAGTACTTCACCAGGCATAATTCAGAAGAAATCAATAAGAAAACTAACAAAAATAGTAAAAGTAGAACTAATGTCAATTTTAATCTCTCAGTAACATGAAACAAAACTAGAAATAAATAACAGATGTTAGTTACATATCCACAAGACCATGTCTGAAGTAAACTCTGTTCCTAAAAAAAAGGTCAATACATGGGAATTGTAAATCTGTTAGAGAAAGAAAAAGAACCGAAGAAAATAAAGGAGATAACCAATAATTATTTCACTAGTAAAGATAAATATAAATAAAAAGACAATCCAAAAACTGAAAACCAGACAAAAATTGGAACAGAGATTGTGATTTAAACATGTAAGAGAGCATTGCTTCCGACTATATGCATCATAATTTGAATATCTAAATAAAATTAACAGAGGATAATACAGTTACATTATACCTTAGAAAAGGGGGTCACAGATGAAATATAAACTTCATACATATAAATACATATAAATATTATACTTTAAAAAGAATATTAATAACCCTCAGCATAACTAGAGAACAACACCCAAGATGGTGAGGCATCTGAAATTCAGGTCACATGAGTAATGAAAAAGGTTCAGATTGTTATAATAACAGTTTCAAATATCTGTGAACCAGAATTAGACTTACTGGATGACACAAGAGGCAGAATGCATGAAAATCACAGAGGCAAAGTATTAGTAGAAATTAGAGGAAATAGTAAGAGTTAAGTTCAATGGGAACATACATTTTGTGAAGCTGTTGATACCTAGTCAGTAGAGGCTGGCTTTCCTTGAAGATTTTGATGAAGGACTTTCTGTATGTGGTCATATCACCCTGAATGTACCCAATCTTATTTGTACATGTGAGAGATAGGGCAAGATGACTACCAATGTCCTTCTCTCTCTTATATTATGTATTCTGGTGATAAATTTGAAACTGAGTAGCTCCCTTTCAATATATTTCATGTGGAAGGTCACGTAGACATCTTCAGTCTGAGATGAGAAAAGATGATTAATCATTCTATAGCATTCATTTATATAATTTCTATGTTACATAAAAAGTGATTCAAATTAGTGATAAGAAAAAGCACCCCCAAATACCATTTTTTGGAGTGTGACATAGTCCTCAGAGTTGTGCAAAGCCTTGTTTCATATGAGTCTTACATTGTGTACAGTTTTAACTTTATGCATGCTTTCTTTTATATTATTTACTATACACAAACAATACCCCTGTGAAATAGAAAAGGAAAATTGCATTATTCTTATTTTTTGTATATTAAAATTTAAATTCAGAGAAAAATCATGACTAACATCATGACCTAACCAGTGTCTAATCTTAAATTATCCAATTATTAGTATAGTAACATTTGTTTCTGCTCATACTACTACATGTGAGCCACCTGGAGGCCTGAGCACCTCATTTTAAGCTGAACATAATCATTAAGAGTAAATTCAGAATTTTTGAACAAGCTAGACAAATATAAGACACAAGATGATGATGGTTGCTGAAACCATTTTGAGAGTTATAAATCTAGAGAAGAAGTGAAAGAGGAGGAAAGTTATCCTTTACTGCCAGATACTTTAAAAGAACTCTGAGAAGAAACTGTTACCATCCTTGCTTTACACAGAAGAACATGCAGGTTCAAAATGTCAAACACCTCATCTAAGACCACACAGATGAATAAATTAGAAACTCTCATGACAGTGACACGATTCAACCAATTATGACTGTACTGTTGAAATGTGTTCTGAAAATAAAGTCTGAAGAGGAAACCCAGTCTTCCCAATCATTTTCCTAATGGCCAGCTGTACATCTTTGTTCTTTAGACTGTACACCATGGGGTTCAATAGTGGGGTGATGATAGTATAAGTCACAGTCACCAGCCTGTCTTTGCCTGATATATATTTGGCTGAGGGTCGCAGGTAGACAAAAGAAACACAGCCATAATGGACAATGACCACAATGAGATGGGAAGCACAGGTGGAGTAGGTTTTTTTCTTGCCTTCAACAGATGGGATCTTTAGGATGGTGTGGACAATGAAACTGTATGACCTGCAGATGGACAATGAAACTGTATGACCTGCAGATGAAGATCAAGTGCACGACAAGCACCAAGACTCCACAGATGAAGATGACCAGTTCATTGATGTAGCTTTCAGCACAGGTGAGATGGATGACTGGGGAAATATCACAAAAGTAGTGGCTGACTTTGTTAGAGCCGCAGAAAGGGAGGCTAAAGACCAAAGTTGTTCCCACCAGAGATATTAAGAAGCCACTAACAATGCAAGTTGCTGCCAGTTGTCCACATACTCTTCAGCTCATGAGAACGAGGTAATGCAAAGGCTGGCAGATGGCAGCATAATGATCATAATCCATCACTCCCGGAAGCAGGCAATTAGTGACAGCAAACTCAATGAAGAAGAACATCTGGGTGGCACAACTCACAAAAGAGAGTGTCCTGAGTACAGAAAACAGGTTGATAAGCATCTTGGGCAGTATAACAATTGTGTAGAAGATCTCAGAGGTAGAAAGGACACCTAGAAAGAAGTACATGGGTGTGTGGAGGCTGCGATCCAAGTGGATGACTGAGATGATAGTGTTTCCACTCAAGATGATCAGATACAGGCAGAGAAAGACCGCAGTGAGGACAAACTGCAATTCTCCAATGCTGGAAAAGCCCAGCAGTAGGAACTCAGTGACAGAAGAGGAATTAGCCATGAAGAGTTGACCCCACAGAATAAATGTGACCAGGTCCAGAAACCTTTGAACTGAGAAAGTGGGGAAACTTACCCTCACAAAGTTGCCATGCCACTCTTGTTTGAATGAGAAACAACTGGTGTGGGAGAGAAAAAATAATTGCAAATTATCCACTTGTCATTATAAATTGACACGTATCCACACTGCTATTTTTCTGCTGTTGATTTTAGCAGTGAATTTGGGTATGAATGTTCACGTGAACAGTGAGGTGTGTCACTTACTTAAAATAAAGTCTATCCTTCAGGCCTCCTTCTGGAGACTTATGTAACCCCTAACTAATTTTTTAGTACAGCAGTTCCCTCTTATCTGCAATTTTGCTTTCTTCTGTTTCAAACTTCTGGGGTCAACCATGGTCCAAAAATTCTAACTGGAAAATTCCAAAAATAAACTTGTAAGTTTTAAATTATGCTCTGTTCTGTGTAGCATGATGAAATCTCACACAGCCCTGCTTCATCCCACCCAGGACAAGAACCGTCTCTTTGTCCAATATACTGCTCTTTATATGCCACCCATCCATTAGCCATCTTGGTTATCATATTGACTGTTGTGATTTTTCAGTGCTTGTGTTCAAGTAACACTTATTTTACTTAACAAAGCCTCCAAACAGAAGAGTAGTGATGCTAGCATAGTATTATGATTGTTCTATTTTATTGTTGCTAATTTTTTGCTGTGTCTAACTTATAAATTAAACCTTATCATAAGTATGTATATGTAGAAAAAATAGTATATTTAGGTTCAATATTATCTACAGTTTTAGGAATCCATTGGGTGTCTTGGAACATATTTCCTGCTGATAAGGGGGACTACTGTAATCTAATTCTCACAAAAACCTTTATGT